CGTGCCTGTAATCCCAGCTACTTAGGAGGCTGAGGCAGGAGAACTGCTTGAACCCAGGAGGCGGAGGTTGCAGTGAGCCAAGATCGTGCCACTGCACCCCAGCCTGGGCGACAGAGCGACATAGAGTCTCAAAAAAAAAATCATGTTGAAAACATCAGATTGTTTTCTCTAATTGCAGGAAAGATTTGGGTGTTTCTTGCACGACCTAGTGAAGGTGCCAGGGGGTGGTTCGTATGGGTCTCCAGCTCCTCCCCATGATAACTTCCGTCAGCTTCCCAACCACTCCAAATAAACACAGAAGTAAAAACTGCTTACTATGCAAATGTAGCTCTAAGCCCCTCCCCTACTGCAGTTCAGGAGCTGACACTGCACATAGTGAGGACACTAAAAGGCCGACGAACACGCTGACTACCTGCAGACAGAGCAGAGGGATGGCGCTGGCCCCCACTCTGTCTTGAACACCACGGTATCCTCCTGTGAAACACCACACTCCTCCACCTCCCGCCCTCTCCCTATGAGGTTCTGCATCTCACCACTGTCCCGAAGGGTCTGGGTCAAGTCTTCCACCAGGGCCACCGCCTCCTCACTGCTTTCAGGCCGATGCTCTTGCAGCCAAGCCTGAATTTCCTTTGGCAGCACGGTCAACATCTGCTCCTTGGTGTGTACCTCTGGCCTCAGCCAGCGCCGACAGAGCTCTCGGAGGCGGCCGAGCGCACCCTGCGGTCCCCCGGTTGCCTCCTCCTGGGGGCTGCCCTTGCTGGCACTCTGGGGAAAGGGCTCAGACTCAGGGCCATCCTCCTGCAGTACAGCTTCCTGCACCCAGGAGTCATCCTCCAGGATCATGGTGGTGACCTCCTCCTCCTGTCTATCTTCCTCTTGAGGCACCTGGACCAATGGGCTCAGCGGAGTGGTCACTCTGGGGATCTCTGCAGCCATCATCCACAATCCTGGGGCAATCACTCAGGCTTCAAGCCTTGACCCTCAGTCTTCTCTAGCCAGGCTCTCGAGTAAGACACTTCCCTCCTCAAATCTCAACAAGCAGTCCTGCTGAGAAACAAAAGAGAACCATAATCAATAGAAGACTGTCGTAAAGCAATCTAACTCACAAGAGCCCAGGTCAGCTGGGCGTGGTAGCGTGTGCCTGTAGTCCCAGCTATTCAGAAGGCTGAGGCTAGAGGATCTCTTAAGTCCAGGAGTTCTGGGCTGTAGTGCGCTATGCCGATCGGGTGTCCGCACTAAGTTCGGCATCAATATGGTGACCTCCCAGGAGCAGGGGACCACCAGGTTGCCCTAAGGTGGGGTGAACTGGCCCAGGTCGGAAACGGAGCAGGTCAAAACTCCTGTGCTGATCAGTAGTGGGATCGCGCCTGTGAATAGCCACTGCACTCCAGCCTGGGCAACATAGCGAGACCCTGTCTCTAAAAAAACAAAACAGCCCAGGTCAGACCACCAAGTGGTCCTTACATAATCAACAGACGTTTCCTGTTCCTCTTAAAGGAAAAATGGCTTATTCCTGAAAACATTTCTCTGGGGTAAGAGAAGTTAAGAAGGCTGGTTGTGGTGTCTCATGCCTGTAATTCCCAGCACTTTCGGAGGCCGAGTTGGGCTGATCACCTGAGAAACCGTGTCTCTATTAAAAATACAAAAATTAGCCAGGTGGCCTGGCACAGTGGCTCACACCTGTAATTCCAGCACTTTGGTTGGTCAAGGTGGGCGAATCACAAGGTCAGGAGTTCGAGACCAGCCTGGCCAACATAGTGAAACCCTGTCTCTACTAAAAAATAAAAAAAATTTAAAAATTGGCCGGGCGTGATGGTGGGTGCCTATAGTTTCAGCTATTTGGGAGGCTGAGGCAAGAGAAACTTTTGAACCCAGGAGGTGGTGGTTGCAGTGAGCTGAGACTGCGCCACTGCACACCAGCCTGAGTGACATGGACGAAAGAGCAAGACTCCGTCTCAAAAAAAAAAAAACGGAACCCAAGCACAATAAAATACAGCGTTGTTCCTTCCAAAACACCAAAGAACGAGTATCAGAAATGCAAAGTTCCCTGAAAAACCCCTTACTGAAATGCTAAGGACTCTCATGTCAGTTCTGACTTGCACCGTGTGGCCGAGACCTAACAAACAACTAAGTCACTCAATCTCAGTGACCACCTAATGAATAGAGATAATAACACTCATGTTTCTGTTGTTACAGGGGCATCTTAGGGATTGGCAATGGATCAGAGGTCAAAGCCCTTTGAGCTTCATTGGAAGAAAGGCAGTATCTCAACAGCATTATTACCATACTTCAAGTATGAAGTTTAAAGCATGCCCATACTCTCCAGTCCTGCCCCTCAATAATTTATCTTTTTTTTTTTTTTTTGAGACGGGGTTTTGCTCTTGTTACCCAGGCTGGAGTGCAATGGCGCGATCTCGGCTCACCGCAACCTCCGCCTCCTGGGTTCAGGCAATTCTCCTGCCTCAGCCTCCTGAGTCGCTGGGATTACAGGCACGCACCACCATGCTCAGCTCATTTTTTGTAATTTTAATAGAGACGGGGTTTCACCATGTTGACCAGGATGGTCTCGATCTCTTGACCTCGTGATCCACCCGCCTCGGCCTCCCAAAGTGCTGGGATTACAGACGTGAGCCACCGCGCCCGGCAGTAATTTATCTTAATAAACATCTTTGCAAAAAGAAATTTATTTGCAAGGACACAAAACCACAACATTATCTCTAATGCCAAAAAATTGAGTCTTAAAAATCCAGCAGTTAGGCCGGGCGCGGTGGCTCACGCCTGTAATCCCAGCACTTTGGGAGGCCGAGGCGGGTGGATCACGAGATCAAGACATCGAGACCATCCTGGTCAACATGGTGAAACCCCGTCTCTACTAAAAAATACAAAAAATTAGCTGGGTATGGTGGCGCGTGCCTGTAATCCAGGCTACTCAGGAGGCTGAGGCAGGAGAATTGCCTGAATCCAGGAGGCGGAGGTTGCGGTGAGCTGAGATCGCGCCATTGCACTCCAGCCTGGGTAACAAGAGTGAAACTCCGCCGCAAAAAAAAAAAAAAAAATCCAGCAGTTGGGGAATGGCTAATAAACTATAGCACAGTTTCTGATACATGCTACTCTACAGATGTGCTATAGTTTATTAGCCATTCCCCAACTGCTGGATTTTTTTTTT